ACTCAATTTGGTACTTTGTAAGACATTGCCTACAATAATATCTATCAATAACTTAAAGTTAGTTCACTATAACTCAACAAGTAAAATAAATTAAAAATTACAAATTAATTTACTTTACTTAGGATTTAGTGAATAAGTCAGGCAATGAAGTGGTGTGTTACTTTTAGTCCACCTATCAATCAAAGTGCTATACATCTCTTCATAAAAGGGTGAATCTTCATTTAACTCCTTGCACTCATATTGATATATTGTAGATTTCAATTGCTCAATCATGAGATCCTATTTTTCATAAACCAAATGAAGAGTTGGTTCATTGGTATCACAAGAATGAAGCATTTCATATATAGAGTTCGTGAAGCTCAAGATATAATCAATTTTATCCCAAAAACTGTCATTTAGAACTGTTTTTTTCACAAAGGTAGTTCTTGGAACATCATCTTCTTTATAATGAGAGCATTGCTCACTAATCACCATAGATTGAAGACCATGCTTAATGGTTTTCAACCTTTTAAACATGATTGTGGTTGATGCAAATCGTCTCAGCAATGGCAAGCAAATTATTAAATTGATTGAACATGGCAAGTCACATAAAATGAGTGATTCATAGTGAAATTTCTTATGAAGTATGCGTCATCAGTAAGTTAAGAGATACAATTATACTTATTATAAGTAACCTCATTGGCCAGTGTATTTTTGGAAGACAAATACCTTTGAGAGCAAGATTTTGTGTATGCACAATACAAGGTGTCCAAAAAATATGAGGATGTACAGGTTCCACAATAAATCCAACAGTCTTGCAAGTTGGTGCATTATTTGTGATTATTTGGATAATATTTTGTGCTCCAACCTTGTCAATGATAGATAGAATGACGTTTACTATATAGTTCTTATCCTTGTATTCATCGGATCCATCAATTGCTTTCAAAAACATAGGATCGAAATCACATGTTGCTATGAAGTTAATTAGTAGTCTTCTTTATGCATCAGTCCAACTGTCACTAACTATGCTTACACTTTTTAGAATTCAAATTCAGATTTACATATAAAATATATTTTTAAAAAGAGTTGATTTTTCCTTGCAACACCACTGAGAATAAGATCATAAAATAGAACATTCTTCATTTAAATTCTTAAATATATAACTGTAAGGGTGAATATTCACCATCTCACTAAATCTCTTGTTTTATAAATGAACAAGTAATACAGAAACATCATTAAATACAAGATACATCAAAATAATATTAGTTTGCATAGTATATTAATAAATTTACAGCAAATCAAACATTATAACAATCACACCATTAATATTTCAAAACATACAATTAGACCATATCATTTCATACATTTATACATCAATTGATATGTCATAATATATGTGTTCTAATCATATTAATTAATACATTACAATACATGCATTATAATAACACCCATCGATATATTACAATACATATATTACAATTACACTATCAATTTAGTATAACACATATATTATTATTATAAGATCATTATGCTATAACACATATAATATAATTTCACATTCATTGCCTCTAAGATCCTTTGAATTCTTCCCTAAGTATAACTAGTTGTTGGTTAGCTGGAACAACACAGATATAGTGTGTGCCCATACAGCCTCTTTTAACAAAGGTATAGTTAGAAGTTTAGTTGAGAAACAAGTATAAGGTCTATGATGTTATCGTTTTTAGTAATTCATGTGCACCAACTACAAACAACATTCACTACCATCATTTATCTTAGATTTCTCAAATCGTCTCTGAACTCTATACTCCAGTATATCTTTGTAATTATTCATACTTAATCTCATCAGTTTTTTATAACACACCATTTTCTCAACAATTTTTTTTTTATGATTTTCTTTCTTCTTCAATCATTTTCACACTTTTTTAACAGTTCAAACAACACTTTATACAAATACATGCAATATGCCAAAGGGTCGGCTATCTCCAAACTCAACCCAAATCATATAATTTCAAAAGTTATATTTCTACTCCCTTTAGATAATACTCAAATATATAAATTTTTAAACAACAATACACAATCATAATAATATTTCATTGAATTACAATTAAACTATCAAACAATTTTGCCAGAGGTCAAACACATCTGGACTCAGCTTCAATTGTACAGTTAAAACTCATTAAAATTAAATTATATACTACAGTTACATTACTAGATATTACACTCTCTTGGTTTTTAATAAAAATCATCTATTCTAAAGTTTAGCCTTCTTCTCAATACATATTGTTGAAGATAATAATTCACAATATTAATTACACATACATAATAATAAATAGCAAAATCGTAGAAACTTCTTAAAATAGGTTTTATTCATAATTTTAGTATAAAATTTTAGTTAGGTAGTTCCAAAGACAAATCATAAGTTTTTTATGCCCAAAAAAAACATTTTTAACACTGTATTTTTTTTAAAAATATTAGAGTTCTACTATCTAAAATAGGAAAACTTAAGTTTTAAACAAAAACATATAAATAGGAGTTAGAGTTTGGGATTAACTTTCTTTACCTGAAAATAAATTTCTCAAAATCAAAGAGATAAGAGACAATGTCTCTAAGGCTAAGTTCTCTTCGAGATTCAAAAAAAAAGTGCAACATTTTGGTGAAAGATATTGTTCAAAGACCAAGATCTTCCTATATATTTGAAGTTAAACACTTTTGAAAAGAGACAAAATGGAGAAATATAAGTGAAATGAGAAGATTGAACTCTAAGAAACTTATTTGAGATCAAGAGAAAAAGATATTCAAGCTCATATTCAAAGGAGGTTTAAAGAGTAATGAAGTTTTCTAGTTGGAGAATGGAGTGAGAGAACAAAGAGTGAGATGAGAAATAATTATTTATTTTAAAAATTATGTTTTTAGAATGCCCAAAATTAATTAAATACCTCTTTTTTCTCAAAAATTTTCGCTTGACTGAGGGTATTCTCACTTTAGTAAAAAAATCATACTAATTCTGCTGCACATTCACTGATATTTTTGCTTGAACAAAAATATACTCGAGAGTTCCATTTCTGACATCCGTTCTTGTCTAAGGGAAATTACGATTGAGAAATTTTGATATATTTTTATTTGAACGAGAAAATTTTGCTTGAGCTAAAAATAATATTTTTTATTATTTTTTTATAGAAAATCTTCTATTTTGAAAATAAAAAATATAATTAAAAAAATTAGAGTGTTATAAAGAAAGTGTTGGTGATCAGATTCTTTGCTAAGATTATCAAGAATCAAGTCTTATTGATGATAAAATTCCTTCTCTTTTATGCGATAATCAAATTCTATTTTAGAGTAGTATTACTAATTTAATACCTATTTTTATAACTAGATTATAATTTTTTAGAATAGAATCATTTACATAATAGTAAGTAGAAAATTTAAGATTTAATTTATTTTTATTTTATTTTTATATCACTAAAGACATCCTCTTAATCTATATATTTATAATTTTTGTTGTAGATGTTCAAATTAAGAAAATACAATATCTTTTCTACAGATAATTTAATGTTTATTCTAAGATTTTAGCGTGTTAAAGAGTAACATGAAATTTACAAATTGGGAATTTAAGTATAAAAAATTAAATTACAACTTAAATTTCTACTTTGGGATATTTTGCAGTAAAATCTTTGTATAGCCTTAATGCTACATTTGGGAGAAAAAACAAAGGGAAAAATGTAAGAGAATTTTGAAATCTTTTCAAATTTTAAAATGTTAAATATCTAATATTTTTATCTATTATCTTATTTTCGTCACCCAAAAATATTTTGATTTTTTTTTTAGTATTTATATCATAATGTGATATTCATCCATGCCTTTTAGTGTTCGTTTTGATTGGTCTTTTTTCACAATGTTATGCCAGTAATGGTCATGATTATTCAAATTGAAACTATTCACAAATATTCAGTTGATTTCAATTCACAAAATAGATCGATCAGCTGATGGTTTACTGATGTTTAAATTTAAATGTGAAATTAATGGTTAAGTTAAAATTATATAGTGTACGACATACAATAAAATTTGAAATTTGAAATATATTCTTTCACATAAAACATATTTTTGAATTTGATCTTTATAAAAAAAATTATTTTCAATTTTCAATTTAATCATTGGTCCCCCGCGGGATCGGCTAATTGACTTGGACCAGCGTCCTAGGATATCATACCACGAGACCAAGCCAAAAGTTGAGTGTTTTTTTTTTTTTGGGGAGGGGGAGAGGGGGAAGCGATGGATAGAGGAGTATATTTTTATTTATTCTTAGTATAACATTGTAAAAGACAAAATTAATATAATTAAAATTTTATTTATTTCTATATATCATATAATTTTTTAATTTATTTAAAAATCATAATCTTTTAATTTGTTTTAAATTTAACAACTTGACCTATTTAAACAAATGTAACTAATATAATATTATTATTTTATATTATTTTTTTATTATAATATTTTAGAATTATATACTTATTAACTGTTTTAAGACATTCATTAGCGCATATGTAAGACAGTCTAAGTCTATTATTCTATTTAGAAGTATATTTATAATTTTATTCAATAATTTTTAGTATAAAGTAGGATTTTAAATAAATTTTTAGATCATATTAATTTAAAAAAAAGTTAGGCCAACTCATAAAATAAGGTCTATATAAAAAATTATTTTACCAAATTAAAAAATGGACCAGGGACCTTTGCAGTTTGTGGACGGGAATAAGAAAGAAATTCAACTTCCCACGTGGACGTGGAAACAAACGGCGTTAGACGCCAATCAACATGCAACGATCTCATCCTTTCCACACAAACTCTCTAAGCACACACCACATACCATAAAGTACATCTTCATGCTTGTGTTTTGCCCTTCTTCCTTTTTCATAATGTCCATACTACCACTCATATTCCTTCCTTTACCCTCCATACACTTTCTTTTCTTACTCACAACAAAACCTTGTTTTGGGAATTCACTATTTGTTGGGTTAACGTTGCTTGGAAACTAATATGAGGTTCAGGTTCTAACTCTATCCTTATTATTCCACAATATATGTTTTTCAGTTCAGCATTGAACTTTCTTACTTGGAAAGAGAAAAAAAGTTTCAAAGCATGAAAAATTATTCTTCTCTCTCCTTCACTCCATGTCCTGAGGAAAATGTGCAAGGAATCTACAAATATAAAAGATGACCTTGAGCCTATACTATCATTCACTCAATCTGTTAACTTCATCATCAACTTTAAGATAGAGAAATTTTAGTGAGCTGGAAATCTGTCTCTGCCATGGTGGATCGTGGTCAAGAGAAAACCGTACCTGATGGTTGCGACATGTCTCTGAAGAAGAAGGAGCTTCTTTCTAGTGCCATGAAGAGAACAAGCGAATGGTATATATATGCTTCTTGTCTTATACAACTAAGATGTATTTAATTAACCTGCTTCTCTCGTGTGCTTTGGTTATTATCTTCTGTTGGATAGAATGACCAAAACCATGAATTGACCTACTTAATTACAGGATTTTTTCTCAGGAGATTCCAAGTGATGTCAAAGTTCAAGTTGGAGAAGCTTCCTTTTCGTTACACAAGGTAGTGAACCAATTCAAACACCGACTCTTTGATGCATGTATCTAACTTATTGGACTGAGAATAATTCAAGCACAGGGTACCCATTTTTCACTCTTGTTTGTTGTCAATCAACTATTTACTAGTTACATACGTGCCTTGTTTATTTTTGTATCCCATTTTTTTGTTGCTTGTCAAAAAGTAGAATTTGAGTCAGGAAGCAAGTAGTATGTAGACGCAACATTGTAGTGTGTCGAATTGTTATCATGTTGGCCATCAATTAATTTTAATATTGAATTCTCTTACACTGTAATTGCAGTTTCCATTAGTCTCCAAGTGTGGATACGTTAGGAAACTGGTATCAGAATCTAATGATGCTGACGTTTCAGTCATTGAACTCTCTGATGTTCCTGGTGGAGCAGAAGCATTTGAACTGGCAGCAAAGTTCTGCTACGGGATAAATTTTGAAATAGACATTGAAAACATTGCTATGCTGCGGTGTGTGGCTGAGTATCTTGAGATGACAGAGGAGTATTCAGTTGGAAACTTGGTGGGAAGGACTGATGCATACTTGAATGAAGTGGCATTAAAGACCATTGCAGGGGCTGTGTCTATTTTACACATGTCAGAGAACCTCCTTCCCATAGCAGAGAGAGCAAAATTGGTGAGCCGATGCATAGATGCAATTGCATATATAGCTTGCAAGGAAAGCCAATTTTGTGCATCTGTAAGAAGTGACAGTGGCTCTGATGGAGTGGCATCTTCCATTGCATCAAACCAGAGGCCAGTAGTTGACTGGTGGGCTGAAGATCTTACTGTACTTAGAATTGACATTTTCCAGAGAGTTATAATAGCAATGATGGCAAGAGGGTTTAAACAGTATGCTATTGGTCCCATTTTAATGCTCTATGCACAGAAATCTCTACGAGGTTTGGTGAGATCACTCACTAAAAAGATGAAAAATGTTAAAAGCAAATATGATTTTACTGATTCAGTCCTTAACTCGTTGTTTTTGCTTTTTCTGAGGAACAGGATATATTTGGAAAGGGAAGGAAGAAGATTGAGCCACGACAAGAGCATGAAAAGAGGGTTGTTTTAGAGACAATAGTGAGCCTTTTGCCAAGGGAGAGGAATGCAATGTCAGTAAGCTTTCTTTCTATGCTGCTTCGGGCAGCAATATATCTTGAGACAACAGTTGCTTGCAGGCTTGATTTGGAGAAGAGAATGGCCATGCAATTAGGACAGGCTGTTTTAGATGATCTTCTCATTCCTTCCTATTCTTTGACTGGGGACACATTGTTTGATGTGGATACAGTGCAGAGGATCATGACTAATTACCTAGAATCGAAAATGGGAACCCACTTTGTCTACAGTACGGATGATGAATACTTTTCTCCTCCACAAACTGACACAGAGCGAGTTGGAAAGCTAATGGAAAACTACCTTGCTGAAATAGCCACCGACCGAAATTTACGAGTACCAAAGTTCATTTGTCTGGCAGAATTAATTCCAGAACAATCAAGGCCAACAGAAGATGGAATGTATAGAGCCGTAGACATCTATCTGAAGGTGCATACCGCAACCCTTTTTCTATATCAAATTAATATACCTCTGATTTGTGAGGAACTTAAAGTATATTTTATTTACTTAATCAAAATGAACTGGCTTTGGTCCTAAATTCTAATCTTATCATAGTTTATCTGCTGCATTACACAATAGGATTTACAACAGTGTTGTCATCAAATTCAAGGACTTCTGTTTTATTATTTTGCTATAGAATGCTTTACATGTAAGTTTATTATGAATTACTGCTGATAAAGTTGGATTTAACCATTCTCAGGCTCATCATGCTCTTAGTGACATGGAGAGAAAGAAAGTTTGCAGTGTGATGGACTGTCAGAAGTTATCACGAGAGGCGTGTGCACATGCTGCTCAAAATGATCGACTACCTGTCCAAACTGTGGTTCAAGTTCTCTACTATGAACAGCAAAGACTTCGTGATGCCATGAATGGCAGTGCAAGTGGGGAATCTCCTTCAGCTAATTCCAAGCTGAATGTATACTCCGCTGATCTTCAATTTCATCCAGTTTCAAACGAGCTCTCGAGCTTACGAAGAGAAAATGAAGACCTGAAATTAGAGCTAGTGAAGTTGAAAATGAAACTAAAAGAGATTGAGAATTGCACACTTAAATCAGCAGTTAATAGTCCTGTGGTAAATGCTTCGCCTTCTGCCAATAAGCCTCCTTTGCCCCGAAGATCATTCATAAGCTCAGTGTCCAAAAAACTTGGGCGGCTTTCTCCTTTTATGCGTGCTGACGGTGCCACACCTTTTGCCATAGGTCGATCAAAACCAAATAAGAATCGACGCCACTCCATTTCCTGAGGCCATTGATAGTTCCTGGTTCCCACTGGATATTGTGCAGACTAAAGGTTCTTCCTTAGTTTCGTGGGCTTGAAAATACAGGGTTAGTCTTTCCAAGTTTTTGCTTTATCTGTGTGATACCAAGTAGATTGTATGATTCTGATCTTTCAGTGTGAACTATATTGTAAAGGATGGTGAAAACCGAAAAATAAAATATAATTCTTGAGTTGGATCGCAGTCCAGCTGGTGAGTTACAATAATAATGGTGTAAACAAGAATAATAAACTAAATTTAACATTGGTAGTCCATGCGAGATTGGTGATTCTTCCTATCAGTCACGCATAAGTCAGATAACAATCCCAGATACCAGCATCTTCTTTGTTTGCAATACATAAAGGCATATATTGGACAAGTCAGGGGATTTATTTATCTTTTCATGTTTTCAAGTGTCATGGCACGTTGCTGACAATAATTCATACGAAGTTATAATAACGGTCATATAAAATTAATCATGTAAAATTATCTGTGATCAAGAAGAAGGAAGGATAGCAACGATACCATCGGCATTTCACACAATCTTAACAATGAATCACGATTATTAGAAACAGAAAGGAAAAACTAAATCATGAATCGAGGGTGTGAAAATCACCCAGGCACTTTCACATTTATATGTGGGATAAAAACATTAGGTGGGTCAAGTTGCTTCTCGCAGCGACATCGTGTCTTCATAAAGTTAAATGGACCATAAAATCACTGGAAGAATACAAAATCTGATAACAGCGGTTGGTGGGGTCTATGCATAAATTATTAAGTCCTTTCAGATAAAAAGCTTCCGGAAAGGGAATAATAGACTAATAGTTCAAGTGACAGCCTTGCAGTGTCGGTGTTGATGTCTAAAGCCTAATCATAATGAAAAGAAAGATATCATGGTTCTGTTTCAATTCATGAATATTCTAAAGGCGTGAAATGTAGTAAGTTAAACATCTTTTAGGACAGACTTTACCTGAACTTGTTAAAAGATGTTTGTTTGGAAGAGAATATGCTGTCCATCTGATGGTAGACAGGAAGTGGATCTCCAACTTCTTGTTGGCTTCTAAGTTCATGAATAGTGGGTGGAAAATAAAATTAGATTAATGAGAGAAGAAAATTTGCGTACCTACCTAATGTTTCTGGAAGCAACAATAATATTATCAGATGTCTCCTATTTGGAATGACCCCTCACCCACAACTTCAGTTGTTTTTTCAACCATCTGCATATGAAACCCATACAATTGGGGCAAGGATGAGCTGAAGGAACCTTGAAAGGATTTTCTCCACTTCACATTGGCAGAAGCATCCTCTATCATAAGGATAGACAAATTTTGTTATATTATGGAAAGATTACTGTCCAGAGTTGCTCTTTTGAAAGGTAGAATTTCAAGGTGGGGACGTAATTAAATAATTTGATACACAACGGAGGATGGCATATAAGTTTTCTTCCTGCACAGGGCTAACAAGGGATTTAATAACCTCATAGACATGGCTCCATGTTTTATGGTTTCAGAGGCAAAGAGTATGATGTAAATTTGAGTAGTAACAAGACCAAGAAAATATCGTACATGTGATTCTTGAATTATAATTGGTTTGTTTAACCATGAAAACAAGTAACCTTTATACAAGACATCATCAAACCCCCACCACACTTGAAAATTGCACAGAAACATCATTCACAAAGTTAGTTTTAAACAGTAATAAAATACATAGCACATCGACCTTGGAATATTTTTAGGTCGTGTTCAGACTCAATACTTGAAAAAAACCAAGATGGGGATGTTTTGATCTCTCTTGCCTTGATTGTTCTTCAATATCATAACTGTTTCTAATTCCACTATGGCACCCTGAGGTTGAATGAGGCACCTGAACAAAACCTATCATGCCTCCACTTAATTCTTCTCTAGTTGCATGACTGCTATGATGGGTCTTGCATCTTGTTTTGTTTATAAGGCTGAATCCAGTAGAAGAACACAAACCATGTCTTCTATCTGAAGTTAGTGCTGTCTCCACTTTCTTACGGTTGTAACTTGAAGGACCTAGTGTTAGCTCAATCTCAGTCTCATTCATAAACTCCATAATGCCATCATCGCTGTCTGATTCTGTCATGTCCTCCATAGCAGGTCTTTCAAGATCAAAGTTCACTCTAGGATTCTTCTGTGCACCTTTATAATAACCATTTTGAGTCAAACCAATCGCATTCTTGAAGTTCCACCCTCGTTGGTTTACTTCCATATTTTTCATCAATATCTTCTGAATCCGATACAAACGGTGAAGTTCATGCACCTGTAAAAACATTCTCAGGGTACTCGAGGCTTTATTGAAACTGATTAAAGACAAATATCTCAAAGGAACAGAAAGAGCCAAAGAGTAGTAGTACCTGCTCTTTGAAAGTGTCTTCGTGTTTTAGCATGGTCATCTTCAGGTATTCTTTGTCGCAAGGCCTAATAAGCTTCTCCATGTGAGATCTGTTCAGCTGCTGTGGTAAAGTAAAGTCCTTTTGTTGGAATGTTCACAAATGCATTTTTATGGTATTCCTCCACCTTCGTATCAGTTATCAATGTTCAGCTGAAATGAGGAAAAATCTAACTTAAAGAGTAGTTGATCAATGAAAAATTTGTTTTTGTGTAGAATAGGTTGGTGGCAGGAAAATACTACAATAAATTTATTAGCCAGCGTAAAAAATATATATACTTTTATATCTATTTCCTCTTATAATAATTACATTAATTCATTCTCTCTCTTTTTTGTGTTTTTTTATCTGTTTTTCAGAACATCATATTTTACTTTCTTTCTCTTCATTTTTTAGGTGTTTTCTTCCGCTTATTTTACACCCACTAATAATTATTTTGCACCAAAGATGAGGACATCAAATTTTTGGACCACAATTGAATGAAATAAAGTCTCAACAAAAAAAATATCTTCGGATACCTTTATGTGTCGAATTTTCCTACCATAATAACTTCCTCCTCTGTATATATTAATAATATATGGAGACATGATGTCATTATCCACGCTATCCTTCCAATTGCTGCGATATTTAAATCCATTAATCAATGCAATGTTTTCTCTTCTTTTCATATGCCTAGTCTAAAAATGCTTAATGTAATATCATTAAAGTTATGGCCATACAGAAACCTATGAACTTGACATTTCAGACCCTGCATTTCATTTATCTTGGTATTTGTTAAAATCGTTAATATTTCATACTTGAACGTTTTCGTTTCCAAAAGTTTAAAAGAAGCAAGTAATTTCGGAAATTCTTTGTTGCATTTTTCACCATGAATTCATAGTTTGTGCCTCTCATCATGCCAAACCATATTCATCATGTATGAGACAGCATACTTTCACCTTTAAGAGACTTTTTATCAGACGCTTGTTATATACCCACGCTCCAATCTAACGTTACTAACGTGACAACCTGACTTTATATTATCACTGCAATGACATGATATAAGTTCCAGTCAAACAAATTAAAGGTTACTTGGTTTTAGGAAAAAAATTTAATTACAAAATAGTGGACTCTTTGTTTATATGGAAAATAATGAAAAAATTACCAAATTATGATATTTTGGACAAAATTACAAAAATATGATAATTTTTTAAAAATTACCGGTGACGTTTTTTGGTACTTTTAAATTTTATTATTATTTTTAAAAATTCGTTACTGACATTTTTTTTTTTTTTATTTTATTTTTTAAAAAAATTGTCACTGGTGAGTTTTAATTTTTTATAATTTTTAGTATTTTTTTTAAAAAATTATCACCGACAATTTTTAAAATTTTACGACTTTTCGTTGTTGTAGTTATCACTACCTACACTAATTTGCGATTTCTTATCATATTTTCGTTATTTTTTTATAATAATATTTTAGTATATATAATTTATAAATTCCATATATAAAAAAATAAATCTAAAATAGTTACTTTATTGTTATTTTATTTTTAAATATTTTTGTATGAAAAATATTACAAATAAATTTTTTCTATTATAAATTTTTCACGATAAAAATCTTTAAAAATAAAAATAAGATAACATTTTTATAATTAAATTTAAAATAGAAAGTATTTCTTAAATAAAATAGCCACTAAAGCTCGTTGATGTTATGCAAATAGCAAAAAATCAATGACTCGTGAGGCCCAAACCAAAAATTTTGCAGGCCTGGGGGAACGAAAGAGAGGTGTATGAGCTTCAAACTGGTGGTGGAATTAAATTTTAAAAAGCATATGAAACATAACTGCTACGATGAACATTGGATTAATTTTATGAGAGCCTTCTCCTAACCAAAGGAAGGTTAACACAAATTCACTAAGCAAAAAGTAGTAAGAAATAGAATGTAGCTTCTGACCTGTGAGAATGAACCGAGGATTACCTTAACTTTATGTCCTGTCTAAGAAGACAACAAAAAGAGCTCTCTCAAGGCAAGAAGCTCCTAATTTCACCACAACTTGAGGGACAACCTTGTTTATTTGAGAAAGACTCTGCTAGTCTGCTCTCACAGTGTTGGAGATTAAATACTATAATACTAAAGAACCATTGTGGGATTTAAGATCCTCTCTCAAAGTCACTCACGGAAATCAAAGTACTATTGCATGAGGGTTGAGGCATGCCAAACAAATCCCAGTGTCTTGACCAATGCCATTCAAGTTTTGTGGAGGAGATGCCTGAGACAGGTCCAGCAATGCAGTCATATTAAATTAACTTTCAAGAAAAGAAGAAACGATGTATTATATTATTATTGTAATAGTTTTTATAATTGTCGAGGATCACAAGGCCTTGGTATTACTCCAGACAAATCATCGTTCATCAACATAACAGCTTAATGTGCTGAGGTGAATCACATGCATCTAAGTTTCTGCATAACAGATCTCAGTTGTAATAAAATAATAAGAATAAACAAATTGCAATTGAAGCATGCTGTCTATACGAAGGAACTTGGGTTGCCTCTCATTAGACACTGACAAGTAGATCCTGACCGTACGATAAATGGGTACCTATTGTGACTGTTCAAACAAGGAACTACCACGCGATCTCGAATTTAAAAGGGGACTAAAAATAATAGGTTCATCGCATCATTAATTCATTCTATGCTATTTCATTGCATTGATTGAGCAAGAGAGAATTATCAATTATGGATGCTTGTACCTGCATCATATAAGATATGTGCAATATACTGTTTGATGTGTATGTGCTAATCAATAATACACCAAGTGTCCTTTATATAAAACAACTTACAAGCGTACCATGCGAATATATAGGTACAATGGAAATAAAAAATAAACATTAGATGCATGTATGTTCGCCCTTGTCAAGATGACCACACGCTTATTAGGTTGCGCTTCTTCATTTTTAGAATGTGAAATATACAGTACACGAAGGTTAAAATTAAATTTTTTAAAAAAAGTAGAGGAAATTGAAAAAGATGGACATGGAATGGAAGCACGCGTTGCCGGGGCAGAAAGGTGCATTCGTATGGGGCAGTGGGTCCTTTGGTAAGTAAAAAGGCTGAGCTACGCGGGCTTATGCTGTCAATTTGGTCCCACTTGAATTGGATATTCTATGACCATAGTCCCCACAAGGAACTCAGAAAGTTTATAAAGAAAAATAACTCTTAATGTGATTAAAAGAGAGAGCCAAATCAACGTGGGGAAAATATTTTATAAACTATATTATCTATATCAAATTGTTTTTTTGTTATCAGAAATATTTTGTTAATAAATGTCTTTAAATTATTAGTTAATAATTTAATAAATAAAAAAAATCACTTAAAACTGTGATAAAACGTATGAATAACACTTTAAAAAAATGAGGGATGGCGTTATCGTTATTGTAATTCAATTTCTATTTAAGAAATTATGGATATCAAATGAACAATTATTACCTTTTTATGTTAAACTAAATTGAAAGTTGTGTCTCAACCAGTATAATTTCTAAACTAAAAGGAGTGGGTAGCAAAGCTGGAATAATCCCAGTCGCTTAATTTAAACGTGCTAAGTGGTACCTTTTTTTTTTTTAATGAATCTCATTTATTTTTTGTTCATTTAAGAAAATAAGAAACAAATTATAAAATATAGTAATGTTTTTAAATATCAATTGGTATCTTGATTAAAAGTAAAATATTTTTTATCAAAATGTGTAATAATTTGTTCCAACATATTTTCTAATATTTTTTATTCATTAATTTTTTAATTAATGTGGCTCGTGTTAAAAAATTAATTTATTAATACGACCTTTGTTATTTTTTCTCTCTTGTCTATAATAAATACATAAAGTATTTAAATATTAAGCACAAATAAATATATAATAAAAAAAGTGATATTTAATAGTATCTTAGAAAAATACATTAAAAAAATCAAAGGTAGGCAGATAATAAACAAACTTTTTAATGCAATCTCATTGACTTTTTATCTTAAAGAAATTTTACGAAACTTTGTTTTATTCTCGTTTGTTATCATAATATATTTTTATAATAAATTAAATGTTATATGTATATATTGTCTTAAAATATAAAAAATAATAATATTATCTCTATTTAATAATTAGAAAAAACTAAAAAATCAAATTTACCTATTTAGCCTCTAATTTTGGAAGCAGGGAAACATGTTCTTCTAACTAGAACAACGCGGGGAGCATGCCTGCACTACTTTTGCTCGATCGCCTGTCACTGTCGTAGTTTATTTCGAGGAAACCGCAGAAAGCACCAATATACTTAAAACGAGCTTGTGAATGCAGTGTTTGTGCGTGTGTGGCAGAGTTCGTGAATGTAGTATTGTTTTTTAGTGATATTGCTTGAATTTTTTTATTGAAAAATGATAAAAGTAAACGACTTTAAAGTTATGCAATTTTTTTAAAGATTTTATTATTAAAAAACAAGGTCACTAAATATTTATTTAAGCTATTTTCGATATTTTTGTACTTTATCATACATAAACCTCCTTTAATTAATTAATTAGTCAAGAGAAACTTGTGTTAAAATCAGGAAAGATTGATATAAATGAAAGAAGTATATAGTATTATGTTATTATATAAAATTTTAAATGTGACCACAGGTAAAAATAATAAAAATTGTCAAATATAATTCAACCAAAAGTTCTTCCATCACAGTTACAGTTGTTAATATAGATTCGCAAAGAAAGGCATATAAATTAGTTAAATAAAAATAAATTTTTTCATATTTTTTACATTTTATTTAAATATCATATCCTTTTTATTAACAATTAAATTAGTGATATATTGTATTCAACATAATGTTGTTATTAAATATTATAAAATATTTATAAATGATAAATCTAATTTAAATAATTAAAAATATATAAATTAAATATGAGTGATTGAAATTTAAAGAACTAAAATCATTCATAAATTAAATTATGAGAATCAAAAGATCAGTGAAGAATCAAGTGTTTAAACAAAATTAAAAAAAATTATTTTTGTAATTAAATAAATATTCGTCGAAAGACTCAAAACCTCCTATTAAGTGAATTTATGCCAATAATTTATAATTAAATTTCAAAGTACTTTACAAAATAAGTTCCACTAAACCAGAATTCAATTTTCAAGTACTCAAAGTCACATTTGGCTTAATTTAAATAACTTATTATCATAAATAGTTCGTCAATCAAGCCGTAATCGAAGAGCCAATTGCTGTTTTTTGAATTCAATTTGACTAAAACCCTAAACCCTGCCTACGAAGAGATTTGGGGTATTTATCCGGTGTTTCCCCCGTTGTGGTGAAAAAAGAAACGTCGATGCCTTCCACGAGTTGGATTCTGTGTTGAAAACTTGGAAGAGGTTTGCAGGTAGTGGTTGTCTACGAATACTTTTTCGGTGAAGGCTTCTACAAGTGCTTCATCCAAGGAGAATACAATGGTGGAACGGAGGTCTAGAGGAAGGGGTAAATTTGGTGGACATCTTGGAAAAGTTCTCAACAATTCCACATCGTACTTTTTTACAAATTTTCCACTTGTTACTGGTGTTTCAGCCTTGTGACGAATATTTCAACGGTGGGGAAGGTGGTTGATGTTTTCATACCTCAAAAGAGTGATAAACTAGGACGTCGCTTTGGTTTTGTGTGTTTTGTGGATGTGGCGGAAGCTAAGAGTTTGGAGGCTAAACTTAGATCTATTGTCATTGGCAGAATGCGCTTGTCTATCAATTTGACAAGGCATGCAAGGGAAAAAACTGTGGGAACAAAGGTGTCTGCGAAGGGCAGTGAAACGAGACACTCCTTTGTCATAGGAGCTACAAAGACGTCAGGGAATACGTATGCGGAAAAGCTTAAAGCACCCCGTCTAATTGAGACACACATAGGGAAGAAGTGTGTGGAAAAGAAGAAACCTTGGGCTCACCTTGAGTTTGAGGTGGATGAAGGGCGAATTGAGGAGTGTAGAGGTGCTATGGTTGGACGCCTTCATAGAAAACAGGATTTAAAAAATATGCGCGGGGCTCTTCTGCGAGAAGGTATGTTGGATATTAATCTCACAACCATGGGAGATGATATAGTGTTGGTGGAATCTGATGCGGGGGTAGATTTAGTGGATACAGTATCGCTCAACAAATTGTGGTGGGAGAAATGGTTCTATGATCTACGAGAGTGGCACCCAAGTATGGTAGCTGTGCGGAGGGTGACTTGGGTACGTTGTTATGGGGTCCCTTTGCATGCTTGGGGTGAATTATTCTTCCGTAAGTTGGTTTCTTCGCTTGGTGATTTTATCCAGATAGACCAAGTCACGGCAGAAAGACGACGATTGGATTATGGGAGGATACAATTAGGTACTACCATTGCTGAGCTTATCAAGCAAAACATTACAGTGAAAATTAATGACCGTTTTTACTCAATAGTCATGCTTGAAGAGCATGCCTGTGATGTATTAGCCGCAACAGAGGAAGGCGTGGCTAACTCTTCTGAGGACGGTAATAACTCTTCTGAGGTTGGTTCAATGGAGTTGGAAGCGTTGATAACTATTCTAGTGAGGAGGAGGGTGTGCTGGAAGGTGATATCAGAAGTAAGGGTCGTGTGGTTGGTTCTGTGATTAGGGGTGAAGTGTCAGCAAAAGGGTGTTTGGTGGATGAGGGTTTGGGGGCTAGTGGTGTGGATGCTACGGGTCCGACGGTGGCTATTTGTGATGCTGTAAATGAGCCTTCTGAAAATGTGGAGAGAGGAGTCCAAATAGTAAGAGATGGATTGAATTTGTCAGACCCGTTTGGATTAGATGCATTGATTTGAAAAAATCCAAAAACACGGGATATGAAGACAATTGGGACAACGCAAGTCGATCCCGTTCAATCCAAAAATGAGAAAGAGAGGGTCAATGTGCGTGAATCCCTTCAGAAGGCACGCTCTGTGAAAGGTAGTCGAGGTAATGAAGGCGGGAAGAGACATAAGAGCGCAGTTTTCATAGAACCTTCTCAAAAAAACCCTAAGAATCATAATAAAGAAGCGTCAATGCCATCGCAACTTAGAGGACAGGTATTGCTAACTGATGAAATCTCAGCTAATGCTTCCAAGAGCTTCGACAACTCGCATCCTTCCAATCCTTCAGTGGAGGTGGGGGAGCGAATTGTTGCTACAGATTGTGATGATGAGGTAATGGCATCGAAGTTACTAGACATTGGCAAGAAGGTTGGTTTGGTTGTACATGGGAATGATGAGCAGGTTCGAGAGAAATTGATTGAGATGGAGGTACGTGATAGAACGATTGCGAAAGAATATGGGGTTCGCTTTGATACTAAATGAAGATTGGCTCATTTAATTGTAGAGGGCTGGGGAGTGCGGTAAAGCAAAAGAAGGTGTGTGAGATTGTTCGCTCTGAAGGTCTGGAGTTCTTGGCGATTCAGGAAACAAAACTTGAAATATGTAATAGTAATTTATGTACGCGTTTGTGGGGTTCTGTGAATTTTGATTGGTGTGCCTTGCCTTCCATTGGCAGAAGTGGGGGTATGCTTTCACTTTAGGATACTTCCAAATGTAAAATACTTTTCTCCTTTTCTGGCACTGGATTCCTGGGTGTTTGCTTGCAGGTATTGGCTACTGAAAACCTATGTGTTGTGGTGAATGTCTATGCATCGTGTAGACTAAGTGAGAAGAGAAAGTTATGGGATGATTTGCTCATGACAAGAAGGGGTCTTGGCAAATTTATGTGGTGTATATTGGGTGACTTCAATGCTGTGAGACAAGTGACAGAGAGGAAGGGTTGTCAGGCAGACTATGGTATCTCTGAAATGGAGGGCTTCAATTCTTTCATTCAGGAAATGGAACTTGTGGATCTTCCACTTGTGGGTAAAAAATTTACATAGATAAAAGGGGATGCTTCTATGATGAGCAGGCTGGATAGAGTCTTTGTTTCTAGTTCCTGGCTTGATTACTGGGGAGATGGTTTTATTCAGGTTCTGAGCAGAGATGTGTCTGATCATTGTCCCATTATTCTTAAGCACAAAGTGGTTAACTGGGGTCCGAAGTCGTTTCGATTTAATAATTGTTGGCTGACTCATAAAGAAGTTGTGGAGGTGGTGGAGGAAGCGTGGAAAAGAGATATTACCCTCCCATGAGCTGCCCAGAGAGCTAGCCAGAGGTTAAGGAATGTTAAGATTGCATTAAAAAAATGGAATATTGAGGTATTTGGAAATGTTGATAAGGTGATCTCTGATTTGACAACTGAGTTGAGCTTGATTGATGATAAAAATTCAGTGGTAGAACTTTTTGATGTGGAGAAGAAGCGTCAACAAATGTTAGTGGGTGATATTTGGAAGGCTAGGAAGAATAGAGAGAGTCTCATAGCCCAAAAAGCTCGGGTGAGATGGGAGAAAGAGGGTGATTTAAATACAAAGTTCTTTCATTTATGTGTTAATGGGAGGCGGCGACGAAATAATATACATGCACTCCAAATTGGAGAGAGATGTGTTGAAGAGGTTAATGAGATTAAAACAGGTGTGGTGTCCTATTTTGCGGCTCATTTTAGTAGTAGAAGTTGACTTCGACCTACTATTGATATTAACAATTTACCAAGAGTCTCTGTTCTACAGAATGAGGAGCTTGTTAATGCTTTTTCGGAGGAGGAAGTGGGAAAGATGATTTTGGAGTGTGAGGGTGATAAAAGTCTGGGGCCTGATGGTTTCAATTTTGTGTTCCTTAAGAGGTTTTGGGGAGTGATCAAGGAAGAAGTGATGGGTATGCTTACTAAATTTTGTAGAAATGGGAAGCTACCTAAGTCTTTATTATCTTATTTTGTAGCACTTGTGCCAAAAGTGTCTTGCCCACAACAGATATCTGATTTTCGGCCTATCTCATTATTAAGTTGTCTTTATAAGATTGTTTCCAAGCTTTTGGCAAATAGGTTGAAAGGAGTTTTGAATTCAATAATTTCAGAAGAACAATCAGCCTTTATCCCGGGAAGGAACATGTTAGATAGTGTACTTGTGGCTAATGAAGCAGTTGATTATGTGCGGAGGTATAATAAGAGGTGTTTTGTGTTAAAGCTTGATTATGAGAAGGCGTATGATTCGCTAGAGTGGGGATATCTTTTGTTTATGTTACGTAGCTTTGGATTTTCAGACAAATGGGTCAGTTGGATGGAAGCTTGTGTGTGGGGGGGAAGCCTATCAGCTTTGATTAATGGTTGTCCTACATTGGAGGTTCATATTGAGCGGGGCCTAAAACAGGGAGATCCTCTTGCCCCTTTTCTTTTTCTTGTGGCAGCGGAAGGGTTAGGAGTTCTTATGCGGAAGGCGGTGACTTGTGGGTTGTTCTCTGGTGTGACGATTGGGGAAGGGGGACCAGATATTTCTTTGTTGCAGTTTGCGGATGACACATTGATTATGGGAGAGGCTTCGGTGCAGAATTTGTGGACTTTGAAAGCAGTATTGCGTAGCTTTGAATTAATGTCAGGTATGAAAATTAACTTCCATAAATCTTTTGTAGTGGGGATTAACACTGGTGATGACTTTGAAAACTTGGCTGCGGAGTTCCTACATTGTAAGATTGGTAGTTTCCCATTAAAGTATCTCGGGTTACAGTTAGGTATTAACCCGAGAAAGCCTAGTGCATGGAAGGGTGTGTTAGAGGCTCTTAAAAAGCGGTTAGCGTCATGGAAGCATAGGTATTTATCGATTGGAGGTAGGGTGACTTTGATTAATGCCGTTCTTAATTCTATGCCATTGCACTCGTTATCCTTTTTTAAGGTGCCGAAGTCGGTAATAAAGGAAATTGTCACTATCCAACGGAATTTTTTATGGAAGGGTGTTAAGGATGGATCTAAAATCTCCTGGGTGAAATGGAAAACTGTATGTAGACCGCAGAAGAATGGTGGCTTGGGCATTAGGAATGTGCAGTGGTTTAATTGGGCGCTTCTTGGTAAATGGTTGTGGCGAGGTGTTAACTGTTCTAGTTCATTGTGGGTGCGGGTGTTGGAATCTAGATATGGAAGATTAGCTTCTTCACTTCAGCGTTCATCAGTTCACAACAGATGTTCTTTGTGGTGGCGTGATTTGCTAGAGGTTATTCATCAAGGGAATTCATGGCTGGATGAGAAGTTTGATAGAAGTGTGAGAGTTAGTTTACACACTCTTTTTTGGAGAGATAAGTGGGTAGGAAGGGTGCGATTGTGTGAAGCATTTCCGCGATTATTTGCAGTGGCGAGAAATGCTGAATCACGTGTATTGGAGAATGGTTTTCATGATGGCACTAGATGGGTTTGGAATGTTAGTTGACGAAGAGGACTCTTTCAACATGAGATCTCGAGCTTTAATCTTTTGTTGGAGCTTGTGAATGGAGTTTCTATTAAGTTACTACAAGAAGATAAATGGGTATGGAGGGCAGATTCTTCAGGTTGTTATTCAGTGCAATCTGCGTATTCATGGCTATTTGAACTTTTTGGTGGTCCTAATAGTGTAGATCAGTGTACGGCAGATGCCTTGCAAAGGCTATGGAGAGGGAAGGTCCCTTTTAAGTGTCTGGTTTTTTCTTGGCAATTGTTGTTGAATGTACTTCCTTGTAAAGGTTTATTGATTGACCGTGGTATTCAAATTGATGATATAACTTGTTGTTTCTGTCATAGTTTGGAGGAACTTCTAACTCATTTATTTTTAACGTGCTCAGTTTCATCTCAAATCTGGTACTTTACTGCGCGTTGGCTTGGATTCTCACTGGTTTTGCCTTCAGATTTATCGACTCACTTGCTTTCTTGGGTTGGTGTTGGCTGTAGTAAAAAAGAAGGAATATGCTTATTAATTATTTGGGTAAGTACAGTATGGTCTTTGTGGTTGCATAGAAATAGAATTATATTTTCCAATAGTGTTTTGGATGAGAGGAAAGTCCTAGATTCTATTATTCTGAGATCCTGGAAATGGTTATCACTTGTTAGTAAGGGAGAAGCTATTATGTTAGCTGATTGGTATTTGAACCCACGAAATTGCATCTGTCTTAATTTTGCATAAGTATATTTTTGCTTTTTATTTCTCTGAGTTAGTAATTTTTTGTGTATATGAGTTTTGAGTTCCCCTTGAACTCTTTTTAATAAGATTTGTTTTGCCTATCAAAAAAAAAAAATAGTTCTCATTCTTTACATTTTTATTTCTTCATTATGTTTTTTATAAGATTTACTTCGATTTAAAAATACAAATATGATGTTAGCAAAAAACTTATTAACGTGTGAAACAGTTAAAAACACTCACTTAAAGTAGATGGTCACAAGTTTCATCTCTCTTTCATGAATCTTACACAAAAGAAAATACTGCTGAACCAAACGTCAATTGTCATTTTGACGTAAACTATATAGATCAAGAAATATAAAATTAGGTTTTAGTTATGATTTTCTTACTAAACCATCTTTTTTTAACTTTTAGAAACAAAGTGCTGTATTTTATTCTATTATCTTATCTATTGAAGCACGAGTATAGATCTAAAATGTTAGTTAATATTTTATTGATATGTGAGAACATTACTTGTAATTGATTTTTTTAAAAATTCCAATTTACACTTAAAAATGAAAATGAAAGGGAAAAAGACTTTTTATTATTTTTTGGTCAACAGTGAGAGATCTACCATAACAAACTTTTCCATATAAGTGATTATTCAATTTGCATGGGTCGTTGAATCAAAAACGAAATCCAATTGGGCCCATTTTCAGTCACAAAACAGAAAATAGCTAAGGGTCCAGACGTTCAGTCGCAAACCCGTGAAAGAGAAGCATTGTATACTGAGGAGGACCATCTCTCTGGGGTACAATTTCC